TGGACATGGTGGTACATACCTGTAATCCCAGCACTGTGGAGGCAAAGGCAGAAGGATCACAGGAGCTCCAGGCCAGCCAGACCCTACAGCAGAAAAACAAACGCTCCCCACATCAAAGCAAAAGAACTCTAAACAAAACCCCAAAGAGCCCCAAACCGTCCCACTTATAACTTATGAAGCTAGATTGATCTCTGAGAAAAACATGAAAGCCAGAAAAGCTGCTGTGGGCCAGGAAACCTGGGGTTGAAGTGACAAATTAGGAGACAGGCAGAGAGACTGGAGGCAGTGGGGCCACGGGAGAGTCTGATGTCACAGAAGCTAATGGCAGAGCTGCAGCGGCTAGAAGAGAGTGGGCTACGCTGCTGAGTCTATGAGGCAGAGCTGGAAAGCTCCATGGAATCTGCAAACTGAGAGTTTACAGGTCATTTTCTTAATGTGATCAGCTATATTCTAACAATGGGAATTAAAGCCAGGGTACAGATCCCTGGGGGTGAAGAGCAGCCAGAAGACATTCATTGGAATGCTTTGATAAAAAAATACAGGGTCTTCAGGCTGGGGGGTGTGGTCTTGTGCGGGGCTTCTCACCAGTGGGCCTCACAGTGATGGAAATGTTTGGATCTAGAGAAAGAAGTTGTGTCTTGAATTTCAAATTGATGTATTTTATTTTTTATTTTAGTTATTTTTATTTTTTTATTTTAAATATTTTATTATTTCTTTCTTTTTTGGGTCTTTTTGAAACAGGGTCTCCCTGTAGCCCCAGCTGTCCTGGAACTATGTAGACCAGGCCGGCCTTGAACTCACAGAGATTTGCCTGCCTCTGCCTCCTGAGTGCTGGGATTAAAGGTGTGCGCCACCATGCCCGGCCTTATTTATTATTTTTGTGTATTAGTAATTGCCTACATGTATATGAGTGCACCCATGTCATGCAATGCCACGGAGGTCAGAAAAGGACTTCAGATTCCCCTGGAACTGGAGTTAAGGATGGTTCATAGCCACCATGTGGGTGCTGGGAATCGAACCCAGGTCCTCTGCAAGAGCAGTCAGTGCTCTTAACTGCTGAGCCATCTCTCCAGCTTTATTTATTTTTAAATGGAACTTATACATCCTAGGTTGGTCTTGAGCTTGCTATGTAGCTGAGGATGCTCCTGAATTTCTGATCTTCCTGCCTCCACTGAGTGCTAGGATGACAGGCATGCGCCATCACACCCAGCATACATGCATATACTTTTTGGAAGTAAAAGACAAGCATATTTGGGGAGAGGAAGGGTGGAGTTAGAATGGAGGAGTTGAACAATGGCCAATAAAAGGATTGTGAAATATCATCGGGGCCCTGTGCAGAGACTGGAAATCACGCAGTTAGTATCCCCTCGCCCTCCCCTCCTCTCCCCTCTGGTATATTCTCCTGTTCACTGTAATTATCTTCATAACAAAAGTTATCACGTCAAGACCTTCTTAAAAATATCTACCAACTACCCTCTGCCCATGTAATTCAATACAGTTTTGATGGCTTAACCCAAACTTCCTTCCTAGCTATACTGATCTCTTGTTCTTGTGCCACAAAGATCTCGGTTGTCCTGATACCCTACGCTTCCTGAGAACCTACGCCTTTTGCACAAATATTTTCACTGCTGAGACTGTCTCTGGAGGGTTGGGTGTGAAATGTCCCCCACAGGCTCATGTGTTTGCAGCCCTGCTCTGGCTCCAGCTGGCTGCACATCCTAGTCTGCTGAGATGTAACAAGCCATGCATCAAACTTGTGCAGCCACAGATGTTGCCCCAGCTGCCACGCCTTCCCCACCAAGATGGACTGTATCCCCTTAAGCCACCAGTCAAAAATAAATTCTTCCTCCCTCGAATTGCTTTTGTTAGCGCTAAGAGAAACAATGAATATACTATCCTTTTCCTGTTCTTCATCAACAAAGTCTTACTGATCCTTCAAAGCCCAACTGAGACTTTGCCTTCTCCGTAAGTTTTTCTAGCCTAGCTCCTTCAGGCACAGTAACAACGGACACATTACATGGTAATTTGTTCCCTTCCTTCTGCCCAGTCTCCATTTATTTCCACCCAAACTACCTTTGTTTGTTTGAGGCTTATCCAAGAGCATACCTACCATTGTGCAGGTACACTGGAGGCAGAAGAGGGTATTGGATCCCCAGGAACTGGAGTTACAGGTAGTTGTGTGCTGCCCAATGTGGGTGGTGGGAACTGAACTTCTTCAAGAGCAGCAAGCATTCTTAACCACTGTCCTATTTGTCCAGCCCCAGGATATGGCATAATTCAACTGCCAGAGCCTGTATCCTCAGCTATATGGTGAGGTTAAATCATATCCCCTTTCCTTTCAACAGCCGTGTGAGGCTTAAGTGGAAGAACATGCAAAACACCTAGACTAATGCTGGGTCTTTCTTTCCCAGTGTCTTGCAAAAATGTCTAGAAATATTGACAGATGTTACACAGCCCATACTGAAATGTACCTCACTGATGTCAGATCTGAAAGACTTATTTACAACAAATTACTCTAATACATTGGCCATGGAAAAGTGTGTCAAGGTCAGGAGCAGAAATGGAAGCCTGTGCCACCGACAGAGGGATTTGGGCAGCTTAGTTCCTGAAAGGGGGGCTGGTGATCTCATACTCTAAGGCCTCTAGACAGTTTTTGCCTTAGGGACAAGTTGAACTATTATTACATAATCACATTTAAAAAATATAAACTAGTTTATTTTTAAAATGTATTTTAGAAGGAAACATATATCACAATTTGATATTCCTGTTCTAGTTTCTGCATACATATAAACTCATACAACTAGACCATTAAAATACATGTGTGGCTGTGGATGTAGCTCAGTATAGAGTGTTCAAGCTTGAGGCCCTGGTTTCAACCCCCATCACTAAAGGAAACATTGCATACCACCTACATCTCATCTTAAGACTGGCCTTTCCCTGCTCCCAGGGGACTTAATTAATGACTCAGCCTGCTGGGGCTGTACTGAGACGAGGTTCTCTTGCCTAGTCTGTTCCAGGGGTGACGCTTTAGGCCTGCCCAGTTTATAACCAAATGGCTCCCAGGCATTCACGCCCTCTAGCTTTTACTGGATGAAACTCTCCGCTCTGTCATTGGCAGAATGTGCAGGGAGGGTGGGGGGCCTGTAGACTAGAAGTCGCACCCACACACTGACAGGCAGCCATTCCTCCTTTCAAACCTGGCACTGTCCAATATGTAACTTAACCATTTTTACTACTTGCTTTCATAACAGCATCAACTGTCTGGGAGGATCTGAAGGGCATTACAGGAATGCTTCGTTTGTACTAATTCTCAACGGTACCTAAATATTTACCCCTACCTTGCATTCCTTTGTGCTAAGCACTGCTTCCCTCCATAGTTCTATTTTTATGGTGTCGACAGTCTTCCAGAGAACATATTAAGCCATTAACATTTCAGCATGAATTTCCTTGGACTGCAATTTCTTGCAGGGCAGACAATACTGGTTACTGAAAGAAATCACTCAATAGTTGGAGGTGAGTGTTCTTAAGATCAACAGGGACTTCCTACAGCTCCATGTAGATTTGTGGTAAATTTCAACGAGTCACACAGTACACAGTACACACAATTGTAGAGAGGACTCATCTGATGGCAAAGGTCACTTCTGCTACAGCTATAGCGGGGTGGGGCAGCAAAGAGTCAATGCAAACCAACTAAAGGCACTAGCCACATCAGGCTGCGCAAAGGTGGGTAGAGCCGACTGGGGGACCAGGTTCTATAAACTAGCCTCAGAGCTGTAAGGCAGTAGACTGGGAGGGCTGAGTGTGTAAGACCGTCTCCTAGCCCCCAGCAAAAAAGCTGAGAGCAAATGTCTAAGTGTCTCTCTGTACTTGGCCCGCTTGCCAGTGAAAAGCTGATGATGGCACATATCCAAAAAAGTTGAAAGACCTAGTGTCATGCATCTCCAGGCTGTTATCACCATTGTCCGTAGGTGTTTCCTGCTCGTAACTTGTTAGTGTGCGTTTCACCTGCCACTGTTAACACACCCTTTCAGTACCATGTCTGTCTCTTTAAGTAAAAAACTCCTTAATCCTATACCATCTTAGTTGTCTTCAGAGAGGCACAAAAACCTTGGGCTAGGGCGCGGTGGTGGGGTGGTGGTGTGGATGAAGGAAAATTAAAAACAACTTTAGGGATTTTGGTCAGAACCGGCAGTGCTTGTCAGGCACCCAATTGTCATTACCAAAGTACCTATATTCTTCAGTTAACTAGAAAATGGTTGAGTGAAAGCCTTCTGTTCTGTTCCATCCTGTGTGTGTCGGATTCTCAGAAAGGCTACTTTCCTAGCTTGCCTGCTTTATCACCTGGGGCTTGCTGGCTGCTCCCTTCTAACTCTCCAGAAGATGCTGTGTGCTCATCATGTAGGTAGGGGAATGGAGAAGAGTACAGAGGAGGCAGAGTGTCTTCAAGTGCAGTGGTATCTGTTTCCATGGTCCAGCTGGTGCTCAGGATGGAGTCACTCCCTCACCACTTCTTAAGCCTCTCTGTTCTCACAGGATAGATTGGTAGTACAGGAGGCCCACACACGAGTTTTGAGTCTACTGTCTCTTCATTCTGTTTCCTCACAAGACTCCACACCAACATAGTGTACTTTCTGCCTCTCTCAAGCCCCAGTGCATACAGGCCACCTTGGTACCTGTCTTAGAAGGTCTTATTGCTGAGCAGCTTGCCCCTCCTTGTCCTGGGCTCTCAGCACACCCTGCCCACCTGACTTACTGTTCTCTGCACACGGCACTGCCATGATCAGAGTATGTACCTGTCAGGCCACCATCCTTACACCAGACTCAGAGGTTGTCAGAGGCTGGGTGAGCCTTGTTTATCTACCTGTCATCAGCACCTTACTCCCAGGAGGTGCTTTGAAAATACCAAATGAATGAAAGAAAAAGAGAAGAGAAATGATCTTTTATTAATTTATCGAACAAACACCAAGTAGAATGATGCAATGACACACCAACTCAGTAAATAAAGCAATGATATTTTTAATGAAACGTCTCCCAAATCTGTGGGCATGCTAGCAAGTGAAAAAAAATGCTTTGTAAAAATTCTTTCCATAGACTAGACTTCCAAACAAAGATCACAGTGTTAAGGTATTTAAGATACTGGATAGATAAGTAGCCAAAGAATGTTATAAAATAACAAAATCTCAACAACGATTTAGCAAATGAAATTTTACTGAAACGTAAGAAAATAGGTGTTTGTAGTTACAAGGCTAAAAATAAGACATCAATACAGTAACTAAGTCCATAAACCCAGGAAAAGGCACTGTATAACAAAAGGTCTTTCATAAGCTGTTAAGTGAGCACACATTATATAGACAAACCAATTTTATATTCAAAGCAGCTTATAGCACCAACACATTGGAAGAACCAGCAGAGGCAGGTCAGTGAGCCAAGGCATCTGGGAAAGGAGGAATCTCAGCTCCCACCTGCTTCCACTCCCTTGTGACAAAAGGGGAAGTGGAGGCTGAGAGAGCTCAAGTGCCCTGTCCAAAGTCACATGGCACAGGACTGACCAGGCCACCCACTCCAGGTGTTTTATTCTATCTGATTTGATGTAATTTTCCCACTAACAGGCTTACCATGAAAGAAAGCAACACCTTTATAGCATACTTCTGTATTACATTTATCTCACTGGGAATACCCCCGGGGCTGCTGCGTGTGCTCAACTTTCACACTGGGACAAGTCTGACGGTACTACCCTTGTTATAAATTGGCTGAGAGGTGGCATCTGAAGAGATAATTTGGCACATCCTTTAAAAATTTTTTTATTTTCTTTTTACTGTGTGTACACGTGTAGGTGTGTGCACAAGCACGTGCTTATGCCACGGCAAGCTTGTGGAGGTCAGAGGACAACTCACAGGAGTCAGTTCTCTCCTGCTACTATGTGAGTCCTAGGGATTGAACTCAGGTTGCCAGGCTTGGTGGCAAGTGCTTTTACCTGTTGGGCCACCAGCCCCAATTTGGCACATCTTACACTATGTAAACTATATGTCAAAATTACTAACTCATTGGCATAAAGTTCTCCCTTGATAGTTTAAAGATTAGCAAAATACAAACATAATCCAAACATGGAGAAAGCAATCAGGCTGTTTCTTGAAGATGTAAGTATGGTACTTTCTCATTTTCATAAAGAATTTAAAAAACCTGATTTTAGAAAAAGATTGAGTTACAACCCACAGCTTGTGAACCACCTGGCAAATAAAGTATTTTTCCTATTTTTAAAAAGTGTGTATTTCTGTTAAATATTTTGGAGTCTTGAAATTTTGTCTGCCCTATCTTGCCACGGTTCAGAGGCCTCAACTGGACCAATCTGTGATGAGCTATGGAAGATACAAGAATAAAAAAAAAAAAAAAAAATCACTGTTACAGAAGTGGCATTACAGACAAAACAGATGAACACATTTAAACAGTTTCTTAGAAATGAAGCCAAGAAGTGTGTGTGTGTGTGTGTGTGTGTGTGTGTGTGACACACAGGGCATCAACTGCTGCAGACAGTTAAACTCTGGCTTCCTATGTAGAATGAAGCCAGGTAGATAAAAGTGACTTCTGCATATCATATATATGTGTACATATATTATATTTTCTCACATAGACATCTAGTTATAAGTAAATAAACATTTGGCTATAATTTCCCCCCTCTTGGGTCCAACATCCAAGGACTGGATTTCATTTCTTTCATGAGCATAGCCTATACCTGGTTAGGAAGTTACAAGACTTTTGTAGTCGTTTATTCTCTCTAACCAATGAAAATGCAATGAAATCTCTTGGGGGCCTCAAGTTCATGTCTTGCCGTTACAAGCATTTTAACAATTACATGTTTAAGTACTAAAGAATATACTGTGTTTGCTACCAATAATGTGCACACAATGGTATAATAAAGTAATTTCATGAAAATATTCTGTACTAAACTACATTATAAATATTTAAAGAAACATGTTCAAAACTAGAGTGAATACAAGATTAGTGTTCTGAAACTATCAGTAGAAAAATATACTTGTAAAAAAAAAGAATGTTCCATTCAATGTAAAAATTGTCTTTTTGATGTACATTTCCAATTTACCTTTTGAAAGGTAAAAGCTTTCTCTCTTCTAAACAGGTGCCTCCAAATCCCTTGAGGACTAAGTGGTGCTTGAGAACAGGTCAGGGCAGCGCCATGACTTTCACGGGTTAGTTCAGAGTGTTGAGCAGACAGATGCCTGGGAGGAATACTGTACGTCTCTGAGCCTTTTAGAAATAGTACTGCACTTGTTTACTATTGAGGAGCATGCTGTCCAAAACCCAGGCATTAGACATGTAAAGAGATTCTCTTTTAGGACACACTGTACACAAATAGGGGAAATTCTGTAACTAAATCTTTGGGACTGTACTTTCTGAGAACACTTCTTAAAACCCTTCATTAATACTTGGATGAACTGAAGATGAATAAAAATATCACAGGCATTGTGTTTGCCTTGGGCCTCTAGATGAACATCTAAAATAGACTTTTTCTTTGTGACAAAGTCAAGATACCTCTTTGGTCCTGGCAGGTATGTGCCTCTGGGACTCACCAGACACTGGGAGGAAGTGAGGGCTATCATCATGATCAGAGTGAAACTGAGGCTCTTAATACCCAACCCAGCTGTTGGGGCTATTCTGTAGAATGCAAGCCTCCTCTTGGGAGTGTTCCCTCCCATTGGCTGGTTTGTAGACATAGCAGGAATGAAACTGCAGATATCTACAAAGAACTTAAGTAAGTGTCTTGAACCTTTACAGTGCTTGAATGTTTCTATTTCATTGTGTTCCATCTAAGTAGGGCTGGAGAGGAGGGAATGTACCCCCTGAAAACAGATGTTCTAGCAGCAAAGGGCAGACAATACCATGCAGGCAAGGAGAAACTGGCTACCTGCAAATCTGGACCCAGGAGAAAAGCTGTTTTCACAGACTTCTGCTCTCCTCTTGGTGAGGCTCACAGTTCACTGCCTCTTGTTCCAGCCATCAGGGTGGAAGTTTCTGAGGTATCCACCCCCAATCCATCAGAAATTATGAGCTCCAGAGTGTAGCTGCCACCCAGGGCCCTCCCACGGATCTCTTCCTCATTCTTAGTCTCGGGATCATGGAGGCCCAAAGGTTTGGTGTGAATTATCAAAGGGCTTTCAGTTCAGCCTTAGGTTTTTAACTGGTACAGTTTATTGCAGCCCAAAAGGCTCAGCAAGATTTCAATAGAGGAGAGATGACAGGATCATCTCATTACAATGAAGATGATCTTTACAATGTTCTTTCTTTACTTTTTGTACAAAACCTATATGGAAACAGTTTTTTATTCTACCTACACAGAGCTCAAGATAAAGGTATAAGTTCTGGAATTGAGGAGCTGATGTTACAGCAATGAGAGTTTCAGTGAGGTTAGTGTCAACAGTGCACATACACAGGTAGATGCAGATACCCCCTCCCTGGGCCCCTTGTATGCTATACAGGTTGGTACAAACCTTATCAAGAACATAATATAAAAGTTTAGAACTGAAGTGATTTTTGACATTTTAATTTGCAGGTGCTTAGACAATTTAGGTCTTGACATTATGTTGTAAAGACAAGCTTCCCCTACCTTCTGCACTTTCCTTATACAGTAGCCCAATATGATACCATAGTTACCAAATAGAAAGTAAGATGATTATTCTGTATGAAATCAGTAAAGGGTAAAGAAAGGACAATTGGAAAGAAAGACTTCGGAGCCCGTTATTCTGAGAAGAGCATTTTCGTTGCTAAGCAGTGTTTACCAGGTAAGCGGAAGGCAGATCTCTTCAAGTTGCTGCTCGTGGTTTGCGCGCTTGAGAAAAGTGAGGAGTTGCTTCTCCACATCACTATAAGATGATACAGGTCTTTTTATCCTTGAAAGGGTTTTCCGAGGTTGGGATGCCAATCAGCAGAGGGTCACTCCTGGCATGTTCCTCACAATAGGACATGAGGTCTGCAGATGCCTTTGACACCTGACGTGGATGAAAACAAGAGAAGACTGGCTCTGGTACAAACCTCAGGAGTGGATGTGGGCCTGGTAAATCAGCATCATAGCACAACTTTCAGATCACTTGTCAGGTGCAAAGGAAATGGTATCTGGCAGGTTAAGATCTGCCTTAACCAAATAACCAGGCAAGTTGGCACCCCAGTGAGTACTGACCACACCTCACCAACTAACCAACTCACACTTCTGCTAAAATACCTAACCAAAAACTAAAACCAACATTCCCCATGCTAAGTGAGGGCAGCTCTGCAAAATGAGTGGCCCAGATTTGGCACAAAATAGACTGTGGGTTAAATACCAGGATTACACAATCCTGAAGTACAAGTGGTTTTCAGGCAGCTTAAAGACAAAATTCTGTGCCTTCTGTCTAAGTGTGGCCAAAAAGAGGTGGGGATAAAAAAGAAAACCCACACCATTCAACAATGTTTACAATGTAACAAGGACTAAGAGCTTCTGTGAAATCTTGGTAAAGAGAACCTGGGTGAGAAGGCTCAGCTGGCAAGGCTCCTACTGCCAAGCTTGATGACAGGACCTCTTTCTTCAGGACTCACATAGTGGAAGAAAGTCCTCTTCCGGAAGCTGTCCCCTGATCTCCACGTGCCACACTGCATGCGTGTGGCTACGCACACACATGTGTGCACACATTCTCTCTCCCTCCCTCTTTCCCCGCCCCCCAAATATAATAAAAAGTTTTAAAAAAGAATGTGGACTTTGCCATTAATTTCTTCTGCAGGTATAAAATGTTTTAAAATAGAAAGGGGCAAGGAAAGAAAAGTGAGTGAATCAAGGGGACATTATACCTTAGTTTCTATCCGAGAGAAAGTAGACTGGAACACAGAACAGAAGTTAGGAATTGAATTATGGATTTGGAGCCCAAATTTGAGCAAGCTTAGAGATGTCCTGTTAGAGATTCAAGCTTGGGGAAATCAAAAGAAGAAAACTAGCACAGGAACATGCTGAGTCTTACTCTGGCAGGAGCCAGACATGAGAAATACTGTGCCCTTTTTCAGACATGTGGTGGGAGATCCCAGGAATAAGCAGACTAGGGAGTCGAGGGCTGAAAGCCACCACACCAAGCTCATGCTTTAAAGACAGGTGACTATCTCCAGGCCCAGAGACTTTGTCAGGTGACTGCTTCAGTTTCTAGGAAATAGCATTAGTCACAACACTCCAGGGCTCTCACTGGCCAATCCTCTCAGGATTGAGTGGAAGACTTCAAGGTCAAGTGACCTAGGGACATGTACTCTGGCCTGGAGATGGAGGCTCCACTAAACCTGGGGGCACTAAGTAGTCACTGAAGGACACATATTAAAAGGCTGCATTTTCTAAATGAACACTGCGACTGACTGTTGACTTGCAATGCATTGATACTCTAGAACACTTGATAAATTCCAGGAAGATGACAAAGATATTTATCAAGTTTGTTTGGAATCCTGTCCCAACTTAGAAGACAGTGATGACAGGACTTGACCACACTCACTCGGGGAAGGCAGGCCCCATTTGACAAACAGGACTAGCTTAGATATCTGGCTCCTCAACTGTTTTGGAATGGTGCCTATGTTAGGCAGGAAGTGAAAACCCAATTCTGAGACTCTCAGCTTGCTCTAGGAATATAACTGGTAGCAAGCTGAACCACGTGGCCTACCTTCTCCAAGTTGGGCTCCAGCCTAGGAAGGATAGTGGAGCTCTCAAAACACATGTTGGTGCCATCAAGCTTTTACCTTTATTCTTTCGATGGAGGCTTCCAGTCTTAACTGCTGCACTGTTCTCCTAGCCTGGGCGATGTTGTTGGTACTTGCTGTTTTGCTGGACATCTTCAATGATTATTTTTCCCTGAAATCTGAAGTGAATTTTTGAAAGGTGAGTAGTGCTTATCTTTAAGGTATTTAAACATTCCATTGAAACATATACTTTGAAGAGAAATGGCTGCACTTTTCCAACCTCACAGCCAGAAATGTCCTTTAGCAATTGTGGCGAGTGACAGCTTTGTGTGCTAGTGTGCCATGTACTCATTCAAGCACCTCAGAAACCTGCAGAAACCCAGCACTGTGCAATTTAGTCAGTGCACCCCAACATATCACAGAATGTGCCCTTTTGAAGAATTTTCTAGGAGGAGGGGGCTGGAGAGATGGCTTAGCAGTTAAGAGCACTGGCTGCTCTTGCAGAGGACCCGGGTTCGATTCCCAGAACCCATACGGTGGCTAACATAATTCCAGTTCCAGGGGATCTGATGCCCTCCTCTGAACCTCTGTGGACATTGCACAGACATATAGGCAATACATTCAAACACATACAAATAAATTAAAAAAAGAATTTTCTAGGAGGAAAGCAACACACATTAACATTTATGGCAGTTATGGGCCTCTAGCAAAAGCAAATGTCACTAGAGGTCATGTTAAGATCACTACTGCATTATTTTAATAGAAGTGTTAATGTTATTTCTTTTAAGCTCTTTTATCTAGCTATTAGCCCAATAAAAGTTCAAGTGATAAATGGTGAGACAGCCTTCCTCTACAGAATTCTAAACACAAGGCGATTTTAGGTGCCATCAGATGTGCAGGGATTTTCAGACTGTTAGAAGGTGAGCAAGTCAATATTTAAGAAAAAGGAAACCTTTCAGCTGAAGGACTCTAAATGATGGATCCACAATAAAGGTCAAATGAGGTACACAAAAGCTTGAAATAATTAATGAAAGGCTATCATTCCTTCCTCTGCCCTTTCTTGCCTCATCCTGGTGGCCAAGATACTTGCCAATCCTGTCACCTGCTCTCATATGTTTAGTGTTACCTCTCCTCTCTGGTCTGAGCCCTTGGATTCTAAGCTGTTCTGTTACCCTGTCTTCCCTGCCACCTGATGCAAAGCAGTTGAAAGAGCCTGGCCCTTAAGCTTTGAACAATCTGGTTAGCCAATGGCACTATTTCAAGATATGCTCAGGACAAGTGCTGTCTGGTGCCATTACCATATATGGTTAAGCTCATGCTCAGCATGGTGGTAACTGGAGGAAAAGGCAGAACAGGCAGGCTTGGCTGCAGGGTGGCAGTTTTATGACTCAATGGGAGCAGGTGGACAGTAGGTGTGTCTCTGGCACTATATAAGGGCTCAGCAGTCTTGGGGCACCATGGCGCCAGCAAACCCAGGCTGACTCAGTCTTCTGGAGGGCCTGCAGCTGCCCAAAGCTTAGACCAGACAAGGCTGTAAAAACAACAGCGACACACAGACTGAGTGCCTCGAGACTCAGGATATCTGCAAGGGTTGAGTCAAGGCTCAAAAAAACAAAACTAAAACAACCCTTTGAACTGTGTGCAGGGCTTTGGAATCAGCTCAGCAGTGGGCTTCCCCTACTAGCTGCTACTTACTAGCTGGTTGAAACCAGACAAGCTGCATCACCTTTGTGTGCCCAAGTCTTACTTATAATAATGAGGACACCATCACCCACAACAAAGGTTTTTTTGGGGGAGATGGGGAGAAGTCAGTTCACCAATGCAGAGTGTACAGCATAGGAAAATGGGGTTCCATAAATTGCAGTTGCTATTATTTTTATCCTGGGGTCACATAGCACCAAGAACTGGAATCCCCTGCTTACCTGTCTGCACTGTCCCCCTCCTCCTACCTGCTCAGTGGGCCTCAGAGATTCTGATTGATTTTGTCTGGGTGGGGCCCTTTTGAACAGGTCCCCAGACAATTCTGCCATGCTAATGTCAGGACAGAACCAAAGGGGTGGTCACAGCCACCTAAGGATTCTCATAGGAATAAGGAAGCTCCAGTAGTAAAGTACAGGAAACAGGAGGAGCAAGTGTGTGGCAGGTCAGGGTGGCCTTGCCTTGTCTGGGGCCTTGAGTGACCTCAGTTCAACCAGCCACCTCTTCCTCAAATTCAGGTCACACAGCTCCACCCAAGGGAGTGGCTTAGGGTCTCCTCCCTGGGGGTGTGCTCCACACCCAGGGACCTGGCCCAGGTCCTTTCTGTGTTCCCAGGTCAGAGTTTATTAACCAGGTGTCTGAAATGCCCAAGGAATGGGCAATCTCACCTTGAACAGGGTGCTGGGCCCTGATGCACAGCAAGCTGGTGACCTAGTCTGTCACTGCAATATAGGGACCTGCCTCCCCTTCCAGCTGGTGGCTGGTCCTCACCCCTCACTGCTAGGTGGAGACTCCTCTACTGAGTGGCCTGTGGCTTGCAGAGGCCAACATTTTCAGAATGTTCCTTCTCCATGAGAATAATGTCAAGTATTTTCTTCTTCTCGATCTCTGGGCACTCTGTTTCTAGGCCCAGGGAATATTTTTTTGTAACCTCGGAACAGGTCACACAGAGACTAGCTCTGTTATCATTCCCACCTGTGTGGCCATCGTCAAATAATCCACAGTCGGGCTTTACTTATAAAAGCCTGGGAAGGTAAGAAAACAGGCATCCAGTATATGGAAGATTTTCTTAATCCCTTATTGTGTTACAGCTAAGACTTACACAGCTAGCTTGCAAGAAAAACAAATCGGAACAAAAAAGACAAAAAACCCCAGCAATCCATAATTCTCGCCAGTCCAGGCTTCTGCCTGCTCCTCTACAGGACCCTCGCCATTCTTAGCTCCTCACTTTCTTCCACTGAGGAATCTTGCAGGTCCCCAGGCATAAGAGGTCTCCACAACACTTTAAATTTGTTTTTCTTTTCCCCTCTCTCTTTCCTTCTTTCTCTCTTTTTTCTTTTTAGAAACAGGGGTCTCATCACTATGTTGCCCAGGCTGGTCCTGGACTCCTGGCTGCAGCCTCCCAAATAGCTAGAACTAGAAGACCATGCTGGGCCTAAGCAACACTTTTTTTTTTTTTTTTTTTTGACAGAGTTTCACTCTCTGGTCCAGACTTATTTTGATCTCCTGGAAAACCTCATGCCTCAGCCCTCTACTCCCCATGTACTGGGATGGCAGAATGCCAGGGGTGAGCCACCTCATATCAACACTTAAAATTTTATTAATTTTAATTTTATGTGTATGAATGTTTTGCCTACATGCATGTGCACTAGTGTACCAGGGGCACACAATGCCCTTGGGTGTCAGAAGACGCTGTCAGATTCCCTGGAACTGCAGTTACAGACAGTTGTTAGCTGCCATGTGGGTGCTGGGAATTGAACCCGGGCCCTCTGCAACAGCAGCCAGTACTCCTAATGGCTGAGTCATCTCTCCAGCCCTGTAGCAACACATTTTTAATTGGACACTACTGGTACTAGGTACCATGCATTGAGAACAAATGGGTAGAAAGACACAGTGCCCACCCTCACAGAGGCAGCACTAAGGGAGTAATTAAGATTCCTTCTTATTCTGCTTCAGGGGAGTCCTACCTGCTATAGCATGCCACCCTCTCAGACTCCTAGCTCAAGTACAATTACTCTCAAAGTCCCTTCCTCTCTGCTACCACATAGATTCCCCACCTAGAAAACTTTTGGAGGCTGGGGAGTTTCAGCTTCAATAGACTTCTTACATACAAAGCATTTCTATTAAATAGTCTATAACAAGAGCCTTGGAAGTCACTTCAGTGGGGTACTGGTAGCCAGTCCAAGAAAGCACACTGAGCCACTGGAAAAGAATGGAATCTCTGACCACAGCATTGTTCTTATGAGGAAATCAGATTAAAAAAATGTATGATTTTAAAATGAGGAGTCTCTTCAAAGCTCACAGAGTTCCTCTGCTGGGCTGTCTCATGTCTAGGAGCTGCTGCTCTTTGGCTCCTGGGAGGAGGGAGATCTTCCAGGTGCTGGGGTGAGGGCTGGTCAGGGATGACCTGGCTCCTTGCAGATGCTTTGCACAACCTCAACCCATGGCCTAGGGCAGAGCAGGACAGACAGGCTGGGGAGATGTCCCAGACATCTCTGCTCTTCATCCGGGGATGCCAGCTGTTTGTCTATGCCACCAGCTTGCTTTATCCTCACACCAAGAGCAGCCTCCAGGGAAAACACCTCCTGGTATTTGCTTAGAACCTGAGAGTTTACACGTTTCTTTCATATACTATTTTAAGAAGCCTCAGTACAATCCTTCAAGGGGCATTACTATTGTTTTATAGCAAGGCAACTGGGCCAACTGGTATTAGAAAGGCTGGCTTCAAGGTAACCCAGTCTGTATACTCTGAATAGCTTGTAAGACTTTTCTCTCCAGAAGTCACCCTTCCCATTTGCATCACAGAAAAGGTACAATTCCAATTAAGGTAACTCATGTACACTAGGGGGCATCACTGAATGCTCCATAATGTGACTCTTAATCGGGGGCATCTTTGACACTCTGTGACTTGGAGTAGGGGGCTTGCTGACCCCGTACTTCATGTATCACCACCTGGGGCAGAGGACATCTTGCCTACAGCCAAAGCAGGCTTCCCCTGCATATCCATGAGCTAGCCAAGAATATTCTCTGTAGTTCGACTAAAGTCAGCATTGGGGGTCTTGAAGCCCAGTGTCCCTTTCTGCCCATAAAGGGTGGGCCAACAGCAATCTGATGAAACTTGACTATTGCTTCTGTTTAGTTTTATACATGAGCATCACATTGGAATAAGCATTTTAGTTAATTCAATGGTTTGCATTGGTTTTATTGCTGTAGTTCATCTAAATTTTCAAGTTCCTTAAAATTCTCAGGAACAAGATATGCCAAAAAGGGCATAAAGGCATTTAAATCTTTATCAAGAGGGCTTAGAGCTAGAGGAGGGTGGCACAGAAGTGTCACCAAGTATACTCTCAGTGGAAGGAACAGAGAAGCCCTAGGCTCTGAATGACAAATCATGGTGGCCTGACCTGTAACTAAATCACTGAAGCAACTTTCAACAGCAAACACCCTGCTGTGGCTGTAATAGAGAGAAGGTTTTTTTGTA